ACCCAGGAGTCCAACTATCAAGCACATCTTTAAATAATGAAGCATTTGTAAACAAATGTGAAGTCCTCACAACAATCAAAATGCAACTCCTTGAATAACTTAGCACCTGTACATTTGAAATATTTAAACTTCTGACAAACGATAAACGTGAACATTGATGTTGAGAAGGGAAAAGGGGAAAACAAAGTAACCCCCCCCCCCCCCAAATCCGCAACTAAAAATGCGAGGAAAAGACGAAGAAAAAAAATTATAGGAAGACAAACAAAACTGAGCCTAACAAAGACTCACCCCCCCCCCCCAACAAGAAACAGCTATGTGAAGTTTTAAGATGCGCTTGATTATGCTTGAAATAATTTAAAACTCATGCTTTGTTATAAAATGAAAGCACATCCCAATTCGAAACAGAACAGAGAATCATGCAAGAAGAGAAAAATTTATGCACAAAATTATCAGAGCTAGAACAACTTCTTAGAACCATTTCTAAAAGACAGCGCAAATCCAATAACAATATCAACAACATTTCAAGCGAAGGAATATATCTGATTACAAAATAACATATCAATTCGAAGTGTTAAATTAAAGTATTCCTACATGTATGTACACATGTATAGTCAAGGGGTTGACTAACTTTAACAGCTGCACTCCCGTGAAATGACACAAGATTTTTTTGCAAGCAATCCAGCTTAAAATGTAAAACCCTTTACGCTGTCTTGAATCTCATAACCAAACGGCTGCTAGTAAAAGTCGCATTAAATCTAGACACACCACAAACAGTTGTCAAACAGTAAGTTTTAAAAAAAGCAAAAAAAACCCAACTAATTGTCAAAGAAAAACAAACACCCACCGCCAAAAGATTAGAAGAGCCCTGAAAAATGGCTTTAGACTAAAACATATTAATATACAAATTGATGAAAAGACAAGCATCCACTTCACCCTATTTAGAAAAATCACTATGAAAACTAACTACAAAAGCCCCTAGAAACAGAAGGTAGCTTAAATTCAACTAAACCTGGCATATTTCAGTTAGCACAACTCATTGTTCACAATTGTATCATCACTTACAAGAAGGGTAAATAAATACTTTACAGATGTATTTGTCACTGTGAAGTCATGCATTCTAGAACACTTTCTTTTGCTTGGCAGTACACATAACTTAGTCAACGGAAACGATTTGAAATGAAAAACATTTAAAAAATTTTCAACATAGGTACAAAGGAGGCCAAAATGCTGTGCTTAAAGATATGATTTTTAGAAATGATATACACGAAGAAGTTTTCAACTTTAATTTCAGGCCACAGCTTTGTGCATTTCAAGGAAGCACAAGACTCCCCAATGTCCTTCCGAGATGCCCTGCCCCTGAAATTTTGGTTATCAAGCCACATGAATATGACAGGCAGGGAGTACAGAGCATTATGGGGTTTTGCCGAATAGCGCAACATGTATGCATGTTAGTTGGAGACAAAGAGTCCAAACATCAAGTCCACTGTACAGTAACCCTAACAGATTAGCAGTCTCCACAACTCTTGCACCGTGCACTAGAGAAATAGAAGAATGAATCTATCAATTTTTATCAAAACAGCACAAATGAAATTACTGTGAAAGCTCTAAAATACAGATGTTGTTGTTATCGATCCAGCAACATTTGGGCTCTCGCCCTTCTGTCCAATGCCATGTAGTGATATGTGCAGTTTTGCTGAAGTAGCTGTAATGTTCCGTAGAGTGCGTTATCAAAGTTAGGCCTCAGAGGGAGAAGTGTAGCTCTGATGTCATTTAGGGCTGTACAGTGGAAAAACTTATGTTCCACTGTCTCATATGCATAGTCACACAAAGGACACATTGGGGAAGTTTCTAAAATACAGATTAACTGATCAACTTACTGTGAAGGTTGTTGACAACGGAGTAGGCTTACTTTAGTTTAAATGCGAGTTTTACAGCACTTGCAACACATTTAGGTCATAATATGAGTGTCAGAGATTAGAGGTGTAACTAGAGAGTAATATATGTGCAAAGAAAAGAAGGAAGAGAGATATGGACAACAGATGTTTGATAGGAAAGAAGCAAGCCATACTAGAGCACCCACGAACCACCCACACAAGAGTCAGCTGTCACTGAACTCTAACTATGGAAGTGAAGCAGCACTCGGTGTTCCCCAGCGGCCTTAAAATGAGATCATTGTTCGCGTTTCTTGGTGGCATGTTACATTTTTTAAAAAAGAAAAAAGAAAGAATCCCTATTTGTTTCAAAAGGTCTACTAATGATATTGATAGCCATATTAATTTGTACTCGGGAATGACAGAAGTTTAATTCATGTAAGCTTTCACGACTTTTGAGTTGTGTCATAGCATCAGCACGGGTATCAACACCCTCCCCCCCTCCAGGTAAAGCACTTACACACTCAAGTGAAGGTTATGTTGATGACCCGCAGAAATATACAACAGCATTCATTACACTGTAAAATTTCAAATACTGTGACACATGGCAAGAAACAAGATGTTAAGCAGACAAGACAGGTTCAAAACACACAAAAGACAATGAACAAATGTCTCATGAGGTGAGCTACATTTGTATCTTCTGTCTTCAAGTAAGACAGATGTTTTGTATTTCTGAATTCTAGATCAATATATAATTAGATGAATTTGGAACTTAGATTTAGGCGGGTTTTTAAAATAGTTAGAATAAAGGCACTGTCTGCGGCCGGCCGAACTATGTGGCCACTTCCCTTATAAAGTAAATAACTCAGGTCTTGCTTCATTTTCCAAACGGAAACCAAGCACCCGTGCTGCATCGGCATGAATCACATGTTCACAACACAGGTGGTCTTGATAGGCAGCAAAGTTTGAGAGTTGCAGTTGTTTGAAGAATTTGGTAGATCAAAATATCCTAATAAAAAAGCCGAAGCTCAAGAATATCGCACCGTCGGGATCACTGACCTAATATATATATATATTTTTAGGCCAGTGGTCGGGATTCGAACCTTTTGGCCAAAGTCCGTCAACGACGAGGCCACCCTGCTGGTATGACTTCTTTAAAAAATTTAATAAAAATAAAAAACCCACAGTACACTACAACCTCATGTTGGGAGGTCCTGGCGGCATACATATCCCCTTGTGATCACAATTAACCGTTTTAAGAAGTGATAGCTTTTGCTTGTTTTTCGGAACTATTTCTGAACCAAGATTTTTAGTAATGACTAAGCCTTTGTTTCCACTATTTAGAAGTTGGAGGCAAGCTTTTGGGAGTGCACTAGGTTTAGGTGACTGTAGAAAAAACTCAGTGAAACGGTGGAAAAAACCCAGGGATTAAAGAGATAAGTTCCATGGCCGCATAGTGTGCCCTTGATGATCGCATAAAAGTGCCCTGATTGCAAACTGGTCTTTTCACATGGTATTTTCGAATGATCATCTTTCTTGGCAATATAGCTGAGAATGCTCTAGACCACTATACATCTACTGGCCAGATGATGTGCAAGTTTGCAGGCCAAAATTCTTTTTCGTTATCACTATTTGTTTGATTTCTAGAGCAAATTAAGCGAGAAAAGGCCACAAATAGTGCCTTTAATCTAGCAGATCTACATTTCTAAAGCAAGCAGAGCAGACACCTCTAGTTCTAGGTCAAGAGACAGACTTGTGACAAAAAAAAAAAGAAAAGTAAAACAAAAACTACACTTAGGCATAAGAACTGCAATTGAAAAGTGGATTCTAGGCAAAATACATCCGATGAGCTTTGAAATAAGTGATTCTAAGTACAAAAACACATTTCTCAGTCTACTTTTGTAAGCGTGAGAAAGGGTGGACTCTCGCAAACAGAAAAACTATGATTTGTCTGCATGTTATCTAACAATTTTAAAAAGTTATTAAAAAATCAGTGCTAGAAATAATAAACCACCTGAATTTTACAGCTAAATGAGTCCGCTAAGCAGCAGCAGTATTAAAACAGGTACGGTACAGGCTGTATTTGGATATTTTCCTTCCACTTCAGAATATCCCACCCCTTAAAAACATATGTCACGACGTGGTGGAATTAGGTGCTCGTCAGTTTTTGGGCACATAGAGTTCAGTAAAATACACACCGAAATGAGGCATGAAAGGTGTTGAGCCAAAACACAAAAAGTCTATAAAAATTCCCAAACCAGTGGAAAAAAGCCAGTTTCTTCACTTTCGTTATTTTGACAAGCACCTGATTTCACCACACTGCCTCACATATATATATATGTCACGACAGACAAAAAATGGTAGCAGTGGGGTGCAAAATATGTCGCAACCAGTACGATAAGGGTTCACACAGAATGCAAGAAAAAACAAATGATGCATTCAACCAAAGGTGGAAACATTATAAATGCATTAACTTTACATGCTCATTTAAACACACTGAACCATGCCTATTTTTAGTCATCCATCAATCATCCTTATAAATTATGCAAATTTCTAAAATTCACATAATTAATGAACCAGAAAAGATAAGGGCCTGAGGAGAATCGTCACAGAATTTTTATATTCAAAATCTTTTACATTAGCAAAACTTTTAAATAAAAATTCCAAATAACTTCAGGCTCCGGAGAAATTCTGCAGAGTACCATGAAAATGAAGAGATTGTGGAGTCTGTCGCTAAAACCCACAACAATATTTGGCACAAATTCTATGCCACCATGGTTTTAACTAAAAAGAGCATTCTGGCCAGTACACTGGTTCTATATTCATAGTATTAAAAAATGGGCAAATCTGGCCCCGATAACGATCAGGACTCGGAGTCAAGGCTCAAGTCTAAATATAGTTTTTGACCAAAATTCATTGATTAAAAACACCATAGAATGACAAATCTTCTGCACGTCATATACATCAGAAATACATGGCATAAACTTCTTCATATCAAATGTGTTCGTCTTTGGTTCAACACTAATGTACAACAGAATGGTTCAAAGGGGAAAAGCATAATTTAGTCAGAGATTAACACATCAAGGTTATCATATCTATAAAAACACCATAAATGCAGAAAGCGTCACATAGTTTCAAAAACTTTACTTGTGATGAAATACCAGAGCATGCCACAAAGAAGTCTGACAGCGTTCCTGATTTATGAAGGCGTAGACAACATAATACGATCTGGTACACTGCAATATTTCGATACCATGAAATAAAGGATCCGAAGGCCAGTACAAAAAAAATTTTTGTACCACAAATACAGAACCAAAATTAAAGGAAGCCAAATCTTCTCAGATTCCTCATAATACTACTTGTACTGTTCAAAAAAAAAAAAAAAAAAAAAAAAAAGGTGCTGTAAAGTGAAACACAATGATTTTGGGGACATTATACTTAAAAATTACTCTTACTCTATATTAAACTTATAGGTCATGCAATGAATCCAGACTACCCGAGGCTCATACAGCAACAGTGTAACAACACTGGATCACTTTGCTCTAGCTCACCGATTCTTTTGAGGGGAGATTTTGGTATCAGGGAACGACTGTAACCACTTGACAGGCATCATAACAGCAGACTCATTGAAAGCATCAACTTCTCTCAACTTGTTTACATTTCCAGACATTATCAGGTAAATTAAATAACATACACATGTTCAAACTAAAATAAAACATCTTCAAGAATAATACTCAAAGATAAAGGAATATTTGAAACAATAGATCAAGTTATGCAACATCCATTCGCCTGTAGAAGAGCAAATATGGCATGCTCCTATCACTGTAGTAAAGAACATCAGCTTCTTGAATGGGGACGATTTCACTGTCATCAAATCTCAGCCATCCACTCGCCACTGGCAGGAAAACGTCCGATGTATAGTGTCCATCATTCATCTTGCGGCCATGATGGTTTACCACTGGAAAATCAAAATTGACACACACTTGGTCAATATACTGTTAGAGGACCACTGTCAGGAATGACAGTAAAAATCATGTTATGTTTTTTTTTTTTACATAAGGAAAGGAGAAAGAAGAAGAGGGAAGGATTATCCAGTGGGAGACAGATCTACTGCTACTTAAAAAAGAAAGAGAAACAGACAGGTATGTAATAGCTGCAGCTGGTATTAGTAATACAGAGTGTAAAAAGACCAGCAGCAGAAACCATTGGTACTGATGCAGACCTGCCACTCTATGAAATCTAAAAATCAGGATTTTAGAGTAAAAAAATCAGGATCTGGTGAAAAAAAATAGGGACCAACGGCAAATCAATCGTAAGGGGTACTGGGGAAGGAGGGGGTGTCTAGGTTCCCTTTTATGAGGCAAGTATGCAAGAGAAAACTTTTGCAGGAATAAGAAGTTCACGCTTGGGCCTCTAAATAGAGAGAAAACTGAAAGAAAGCATTACTCGGGTCGGAGTTGGATAGACTGGGGGAGCACAGGATGCAGTAAAGCTGAAACTCTCGTAGTTTTGAAAATAGCTGACGCATAACTCTAATCATCCACGCAAAAAGCCCGCGCTTTCGTACAGTAACAACGCCTGACTTCCATCGCATATACACTCAAGGCACCCCCCCCCCCCCCCGAAAAAAAGATCGCGCCAAGGCTGTTCATTTCTTTTCTTTTTTCTTATTCCTTTATCCTCAATTAGTACATGTATCAAGGCACGCACAGCCCAAGTGTAAAAAAAAATACCCCCCCCCCCACCCAGGTTAAGTCCCGAAAAACACCTCGAGCAATGTGGCCGGTGTGAATGAACTTTGTTGACCCCGACAGCCGACGGTCCCCGACACACGTGCTACTCACACGTACGAGGTCATGTCACGTGATGCGAATGAGCGTTTGAAAGTTCCACTGACAGGTCTTGATGATGGGCCCGACTAACCAGAAAAGCAGAACTCAGACGAAGCTTGCTTATAAAGCAACGGCAGAACAACGAATAGATTACTCTGAAAGTAAGTTAAAGCCCATGTCATAATTGCTACAGTAATCAGGACACCATCGGAGAATTCTGCGTTATAAAAGCGAAAGTAGATCTTGAGCGTATCCATGTCGGAATTCAAAATCGATACGTCGATTTTAGTTGAAATAACGAGCGTGAGTCAACTACTAGATTCAGCATAGATGCTTTAGAAAGTAGCGTTCCAAGTTCCTGCCGATAAAAAATCCAATCGGCGCTTCCAAGCAAAAGAGATTGCAGAAATTTAAATATTTTTTTCTTAGAATCGGACGCAACAGACACAACGGCAAAAAATCAGGATACTGGATATCGAAATCGCCAAAATCAGGATGCTTGAGATTTAGGGAAAAAAATCGGGAAAGTACTCACCTCCAAAGAGCTTGTAATTTCTTGACTTTGGCGATGCATACTTTGTCTTTCCAACTCGCGAGATGATTTCTGATGGGGGGGAAGGAGAGAAAATTGAAATTAAAACAGGTTGAAAACATAGTAAACCATCTTAACTTAATAAGTGCCAGATCTGCAAGACACTGACCTTTGTTCGGATGCTCTCAACAAAGCTAAATTACCCTGATCTTTTCCTGTCATCCATCTGTTTAGTCTATCCCAGTAGGTTCTACCCCTCAGTTTTGCCGGTGAGAGCGAGATGTTCAAGGCCCTTAGGTCTCTTTAAGTGTCCCAGAAACTTCATGTCTTTCTCTGTTTGCTTAGTTTTTAAAAATATTTATGCCACTCACTTTGAGACCTGAACATTCTTATATATTTCTAAGGATTGTTTCACTGGTGACACAATGCATTCTAGAACAACTTCTTTTAATCTGCTTAGTCTAGATTCGCTGTAGCTTCATCCGTTCTTACAAGCAACCTCTTGGTCCTATTACAAATTCCTAATAATCCTTAGATCATTTCCACCTATGTCTTGCCCATGAAATATTTTAAATAGCTCACTATGTCTAACTTTATTAAAAGCTTTGGGGGGGGATGGTGGGGGAGGAAAGAAAGAAGACAAATCACAGGGAAATCCTGAAACTACATGAAAAGTCATCTACAGAGGAAAACGTTGACACATATTACATTGGGAATCTAAATGGATCAAGGCTACAAATATATTTGAACGCTGAGATTTTTTATCATTTCACAAATCTCATTTATTTTTTAACAGCAATTACTTTTTGTTTGTTTTAGTAGAAGTTTTACAGCACTCGCAACTGCATAAGGTCATATGAGCGCCAAGGGGTGGATGTCAACAGAGATGTCCTTACAGGGAATCAGGCTTACTCTGCTCACCTCTCTAGCTTCAACAGTACAAAGTCTACTTCGACTATGAAGGCACCCCGGAAATAGCGGGTCACAAAAGTGCGACAAACATACAAAAGAAGTAGAGGTAAATGATGATAGTAAGGAATAGGACAGAAAAACCAGCAGTTCGCTGTTGCAGTTCAGGCACAGTTATGAGCGTGGCATTGATTAATCAGCCCATTTACAATTACAATTCTACTGTGCACAAGAACTCGAGATATTAATGTCCCCCACTTTAGGAATGGCCTACAGACACTTCAGTCAGTAGCACCGCCCTGCGGGGTAAGCTATTACCCTTATAAAAAAAAAAAACAACAACCTTATTTTAAAAAAAAAAAAAGGGGGGGGGGGGGGGGGGGGGGGGAGGGCAGAACATAATGGCCTACCTTTTGGGATCTGTAAGTCCACATCAAACGTCACTTTCTTCTGTATTTTTTGGCCATTTCCATTTGAATATTCAAACAGTTTCAAATGCATGATGAGCACAGGAGGTAAAACATCAAAGAACATTCGACGTTGACCATGGACCTGTTGAAAATATAAGATTCATGAGCTTCCACTAAAATCAGTACATAATCAAATTTCAAACGTTAGGAAATAGAGTTTTGACATGAATTAAAATAATTCAGACCCAGCTGAACATACACAATCCATCTGTTCAAACTTTCAACTGACTGACATTCTGACAAAACCATCTCCATGCAGGCAGACGGGGGTACTCCGGTATGGCCTACTTTATAATATTCAATGGGGCAACCATTTTAACGTGTACCCAGTGAAGTACCACAACTTGACGCCAAGCAACAATTGCTCTCAAATATACATGAAAATTACAAGGAAAAATGCCATTGTCACAATTTTCCCCTTCGTATTTAATTCTATTGTTTCGTTCATTCCATTGTGTCACCCAATACTATTTTCATCAGAAATGGCTGCAGCCATGTACTAGTGACATATCTAGGAAGATTGCACCTGGAGATTCAGTAGTCCGTATGAAAGAAAGACGGTAATCCTCAAATGTTTTTTCTGTGATAAACGTCAATTCTTCAAACATGCACACTTACCCAAAACCCTGAAATATATGAACAGGAAAATTCGGTTTACATATCGCTCAGAAAACAGAAAAAACTTAAGACAAGCAATAGAAACTTACCCTTCTGCCGTCGGCGTCATGCACAGTTTCTGTCGTGTTCAGTCTCAGCAGTGCGTCCTTCACAGAGTGTACAGGCTCAGCCTGAAATGACCACAGAGTGATTGTAAAGAACACTTTGTTAAGTTGGTTGAGGGTGTAGTTTTGTTATTTCGACAAGGTCTTGGTAAGGTTTTCGTCACTTACTATGGAAATTACACAGAACTGTCAGTACCTTGATGAGCATAACATAGGAGGCATATGAACGTAAACACCATCCCTCACTCAAAATGAATTGACCAAACAGGTAAATAGTAAACTTTTTGCATTATCCCATGAGCCAAGTCCCAAAGAAGGTAGCTTTCATCTCCAGAACCTTTTAACGCTATCTTTGTTTTCGTAAGTGTTATATGGCACTTGCAACACAATAAGGCCATATTAGAGCTGAAGATTAAAGGAGTTACAAGAGAGTAACGAACACTATCTTTGCACAAGATGTGGCATTAAAAACCTTTCACTTTCTCTTAAATAGCAGGTTTATTGACGATCTTCACAGATATTCACTGATTTAAAAATTAACAATTTTTGTTCCAGTGATATCAGAGTGGACCAACCTCACATCTTACCTGAATGTCCAGTTTCAAAGTAAAGAAAGAATCGAGGGTATCACTCGACTTGCCAGACTCCCTCACTAGACATGATCTGCTCAAACCAGCAAAGATACTGGACAACGGAGTTTGTCCACAATCATTCTGTAGGGAGCAAGAGAAATGGGAGACATTTACAAAAAGGAATATTTCTGAAACCCGGAATACTGTCTTGAAAGAAAAAGAAACATTTATGAAACATATTTAAAGAAATTTTATAGCTAGAGATCAGTTTGACAGAAACGTTAAAAAAAATACAATTGGACCAGGCTGGCCACCTTGCAACATACCGTGCATGTGCATATCAGCAAAGACATCTCTACATTTCACTCTTAAAGGGCTGCATCTATCACTGATGTGAAGAAGACCTATTTGTACCTCAAACCCATTAAGCCAACAGAAAGAAGAACAAATGCTTTAATTTTAGAGAATAAAAATTTTTTATTGCTAAGGAAATCACAGAAAGTGAACTGTCAGACCTTTTAATGAGATAAAATCATTATTGAATATTATAAAGATCAACTTGGGTAAATAATTTTTTTTTTGTTCTTGCAAGTGTTTTATGATGTTCGCAGCTGCATAAGGTCATGTGAGCGCATGGGATACATTAAACATTTTAAGTTGGTCGGTAGGAAATTTTTAATTTTGCCAGTGTGGCAGCCGAAGCCTACTCTTATCGATTTTAAGACCTCCAACTCTAACCCATCTCTAATGTGCCCAACTTGCACATTGGACCTCAGATTTTTCACCCTTATCCGAGTAGGCTTGGGGATTAATCTTACCTACCATAACATCAGGGGTGTGGCTGAAAGACTGCAGTAAGAAGGAGCCAAGGAACAGCAGTAGAAAGGCTGCAGAATAAGTCAGGAGCCGAGAAGAGGGGCAAAAAGTGGAGACGAAAGCAGACAACACAACATGGTAACAGGGCCCCCCACCAATTCCTGGAATTTTCTTTCAAGACCCCAATTTGAAAGAAAATAAGGCTGCTGCGCGTCAAGAATGATCCCCTAAAAAGCCCATCTAGCAATGATAAAAAGTCAAAATGTCTTTAAAGGAATGCAAATGTACATTTTGTAGTAGTCTTCAAACAATAGATTATAATGCTGGGTTACTGCCAACCCAGCTCACCCATTTTCCAGGGGCATGTTACATGAAAGAGCGTGCTCCATTTATATCTAATATATGCTCGTGAATACACACACACATACATGTAGGTACATTATATCCAGTAAAACAACATGTCAGTGTGGCACTAGTGTCTTGTGTGACTTAGGTTTATATTTTCCCCTCATCATATTAGCCTACATAAACTATATAAAAAATCAATCCTGTTTTGAGCCTGAGAAAAGACCTAGAACCAGAATATCGACTGTCAATAACCAGTCTGGGTGTCATTATTATATAATAAACGTGAAAACGAAAAATATTGCTCAAACTCAAAAAGAAAAGTAATATTAGTAATAACTTGAATGGCTCAGGTAGACATATTCAGTGTAAGAGGTGTAAGAACTGAGGGAGGGCAAGATGCAGCGACACTGAAAATCTGCCAATCTTGTACAGAAAGCTAAAATATAGATATAAATTACTATCACCCCATTCAATGAAACGCAAACACAATGGCATGTCAGATCCCGATTCCACACAAGGTCCGCACCAACGCACGCTTTGCTGAGAGCTCTTAGCAGTTATGAAAATTCTAAATACTAAAATTTTGCTTCCAAGATCTGTTTTTGTCCTCTGGGATTGCCTCCACACACCCCCCCCCCGCGCGCGCGCGCGGGTACTCACACGATGCCTTATCACGTAAATGTGAACTGGCAGGCTCACTGACCGGTCACGATGGTGAGCCTGACAAGACGCTTGTATAACTTACTTTTCTTTTCTTTTTTTTTTTTACAAGTGACAGCACAGGACAAATACTGATCTATTTTCATGGGAACACAGTGTTTGTAATGCACAACCTGCATGTTACAAATGTAGCGTTATATATCAGACTATTACCGGAAAATTTCTGTGTGGTAACGAAAACGAAAGTAGATCTTGATTCTTCCCGATTGAGTCTCTTTGTCACATATAGGCCTACACTTCCGCCTGCTGCCATAGCGGTTCAATTATGGTTCTTCTTCATGATTCAGAAACCATATTGTCTAGATAGCTACACTACTAATATTGCACAGGCCCAATCCTTTCCAGACTTCCTGACACTTCACAAAATTCCCAACTTTTTCCTGACACTTCACAAAATTCCCAACTTTTTTCCAGACCCATCACAAAATTCCAGACTTATCCCCGATTTCCCGACCTCGTGGGGGACCCTGATGGTTAGAGAGCAGAAAAGTAGGAGAAAATTTTCCATCACTGTCAGTTTAGTTTTAGTAAGAGTTTTAAGGCGCGTGCAACACTATAAGGTCATAATGTTAGTGCCGAGGAACAGATTACATGTTACAAGACAGTAACATACACAAAAAAGGAGGGGAGATGAAGACGACAGATGTTTGTTGTTTAGTATTTTTTATTTTAAAGTAGAGGTTTTACGACGCCTGCAACTGCATAAGGTCATATGAGCGCCAGAAGATTAGAGGTGTTACATGAGAGTAACAAACATACGACAGATGTTTGACAGTAAAGAAAGAGCAAACCACACAAGAGCACCCGCCAGTTCCGAACCTGGGACCTATTGAATGAGAGGCGAACACCGTAACCTCTAGACCACGAGAGCCCCCAAGTAAATTACAAAGAAAACAAGGTACCGTACCACATTCGTCTCAACATGATGATTCCTGGGCCCTACTTGTTGCCATGCTTCATCTGAGTCCTCCTCTTCATCCATACTTTTAAGGCTCTCCTGAGAATTGTCATTGCCATTCACAGCAACTTCTCCTTGTTTCTTCAAACCTACAATATAAGCAACCATATTTATTCCTGGAAAAAAGGTGAAAAACGTGCAACCCCCCCCCCCTCCCAAAATAGTTCGAAACGCACTGCGCAATAAACAATATAGAGCAAGTCATAATTCCAAACACTATAAAATAATATTTAGTGTACAAGCTGCTCGACTTTCTTTCATGGTAAACAGTGCGAAAATTAGGTCCTAAGAAAGACCAAACAGTAAGCCCCCTGAATTGAACATTGAACACTTAAGCTCTAGTACAAGAACCAAAATACTTTTCCATAGAATTTCACAATAAAGAAAATATATATTTTAAATGATCATGTTTGACATTGAAAACAAGTTCTATTCCAACTAAGACAAATGTATAACTGCTGTCTCTTACAACGACCGAAGAAGTAGAGACAAACATACCATTGGTATCTCCCATGTGCAGGATGTTCTCCATCTCCTCATGGCAAATACTGAGGATCTGACTGAGGAACTCCTCTGCGTCATGCTGCACTCCCATCTGAAATGTAAAATCACAAGCTTTAGAGCTAAAAACAACTACAGACCAAGAATCACTATTCCACACACAAAGATAATATTGAAGCTGAAAATGATTGTATAGCCACACTTGTCTAAGACAGCCACCCACCATCGAGGAGAAAAGTGATTGTTTTATGTGGATGGCTTGGACAGTGTCAATACAATGAAGGGAGACAAAAAAGTGCCCATGGGGAATTAGGACGTGGCCGTTCGAACAAGTGGCGTTAGAGCAGTTCCAACTGTATGGTTTTTCATTCTCATTAACACAATGCCATTTAAGAGGCTGCTGATTCCACATGGCCTGCCAAAGCCAACCTGGGGCCAGCGGGCTAGTGGTAAAATAGACTTCTCTATGTGGTCATACAGACAAACGGACATTTTATACATGCAATGACAAGCATTTTACCTTTACACACAGGTGCAAATTCTAAAGGTGTCTGCAACTATCTACATTCAATAATCCAATGAAAGAAACACACAGAACACCACCTCAATGAATATGACCCCCCAAGTCCCTGCACAGTAGCTTCAAAATTGCCAAAACAAAATTAATGTGTATGAAAGCAAAGACCAACTCACGTGCAAGCCAAGAATGTTTTGTGCAACGCTCAAAAGTGGATGCGGTATAAAGGGTTGACCAACATTCAAGTCAAGATTTCCTCCCTTTTTGTTACGAGACCCTGAAAACACAAGAGGAAATTATACTTTTTGCAATAACATACATCAGTTCATAGACCAAACAGAATCCCCAAGATTTAACTATTAACATGTTTTGTACTTCGCTAGAAATTTCATCTAGAATGTTAATGGACAATATTTGACTTTGTGAATGAATGGCATAAATCTGGTGCAAACAAAAAAACCTCCTCACCCCCCCCCCCCCCAAAGTGTGTGTGTGTGTGTAAGGGGGGGTGGGGGGAGAGAAGAGACACCCAACTTCAGGGGGGGGGAGAAAAAAATCCAAAGCTCTGATGAAAATGCATTACAGATAAACAAAACTGATCTAATTAGAACTCTTTATGGTAAAAATACTCTCCGACTAGAAAGTGTCCTTGGCATATTAGTCACATACCACTTTAAAAGCCTGTGTTCTACAATTTTATACCAATCACACTGAAAGTGAACAATTCAATACAATCCCAAAAACAATGTATAAAATATAAAGGAGTTTGCTTAATCCAAAATCTACAGAAATGCCAAATTTTCTTCAGTTATAGTTTCAAGAGATATCCTAAAAAAAAAAAGTGATGATTGCCAACAGCTTAGAGCAAGGAATGCTATGCTTGCGGTAAATTTTACTTTTTTAAAGGTTTTTTCTCTTCTCATCTACATCTTTCAGTAACTGTAACCTGAGCTGCAGTCAGTAAACATTGTGCTATCTCTTCCATATTGTCAGCAAACTTAATCTGTCAAACAGACCAATGAAAGAGTAGATTAGCACACTGTACTGTCATTAGACAAAAGAACGCCCAATGGCATTGATGTAACATGCGCACGAGTAGGTGAACTAACTTCGTAGAGACAGTAGCCTAGGCCATGACCAACCAAAGGTCGAACATCAGAAGTACAGTTGCTATCCCCGCATAGGCATAATGACTGTTGATGTGTGTGATAAACAGAGGCAAAAAATGCACTAAAAAATGCATCTCTCTGGCCCACAATCAACACCAGTGCCTTCTCTTGCCTCTTCTGTTTCATTATCTTAAAACACACAAGACTAGATGATTAGCGTTACTTGAAGATGGCTAATGAAGATTTAGATGACACAACCCCCAAAATTTGTTTCGTTATAGAAATAGGAGCATTATTTCAGTAAATTAAAACAAAAGAAGAAGGGATTCTATTGTCTTTCAATTTACAACAGTCTTCAAATTCACTATGCTTAGTTTAAGAGAAGACTGCATAAAAACACTAGTTTCGGGCTATTCCAAACAACCTACAACAAAAGCAGGATCGGTCACGTTTAAGGAAAATCAAATTTTCACCAAAAATCTTTAAGACAAATGTATACTGTACATAAAGGCATGGGTTACAACCTGGCAAAAAATGAGAAGAAAAAAAAGGAAACAAACAAACCTGGATTTCTCATCCGTTGACCATTTTGGAATGAGTTTACAAATTGAACTCTGGAAGAGGAAAAATATAGAACAATTAATGATCACTTGTATACAATGTCACATTATTTCAAACAAGCAAAATTGATACATATCTTCTCTCTACTAAACAATTACTGTACATCAATATGAATTTTAAAATGGCCACAGATCTCTTACTATACCAACTCCTTTGGAGTAAAAGTGAAAAGTCCAACTTGATATCAGATACGGTAAACTATCAACTAGTGACCAGGTTGTGGGTATGACAACAAGATCCTCTGACCTAAACTTTACTTTTCCAATCCAGTAGCCATCTGAGTTCGGGCCCTTCGGCCTATTGATATGGCAAAGAACGTATAGATTTTTAACCAGCTCCCTCCGACCTGCATCTTAACTTTCTCTTGAAATAAAAATGTAAATCCCCATTTCTGAAAGACAACTTACAATGAGTCCAGTATGGGCGTTGAAGACTGACTGCCAGCTCTGGTTGGCAAATGTTTGAAAGACCTGAACATATGGACAAACGGAGGGCACCCCATCAAGACTTGTAAAGGCTGAAATAAAAGAAGTCAGTAAGACCCAGTTTCAGGGATAAATCTATATCAAACAAAATTCATGTCACCATCTTAAATAAGCAACCTATTCATAAAGCAGGACATGATTTGATATTACCAACAGGATAGAATTTATGAACACAACATGATGTATGAAGAAAATATTTTAAGTCATAGGTGTAAAGCCAAAGAACAGCTGGAAAGGGAAAACATACAACTTCCACTTATTACATTTTCCACTCTTACAACAACAACAATCCATACACATAATACTACTTACAGCATTCAAGAAACAAGTATTCTGTCCATTTTTAAGACCTCGAGGCTGAATCACTATAGGTGCATGTATAATTTGCAAATCGCTGAGTTGACCTGAGGAAGAAAATATGCAAAACTGATTAGGGCTACTTCACCCAAGAAGAAAAGTTGCAAGAGGAAAACTATTACTTAAAACAATTTATTACCAACATGAATTTACTAAAGAGCAAAGAAAGAAATGAAGTTCACAGGAGAAAATACAGATGTCCATGCCTAGTTACAATTCCTTGAAAGATGCAGCTAGTAAGGTGTGTCAAACATCAGACTCCATAAAAACACAAATGCAGTGGGCCCTTGCTATAACAGGACTGACATGCTGTCCCTGTTATAGCTGAATCTTGTTGACACAAAACCTACGCCTGTGGTGTAGCAGTTAGGTGCTTTGCAGTTGCACATAGAAGATCAGACTTCAATTCCAATGAGGAAAGAATTTTCATTGAGCATCTCAAGTCTTTCTGCTGCGATGTTGTTACATTGTATTACTTTCACCTCACGCTGGCCTAGACAGACAGGGTCGAAGCCCACATCCTAATTTATCTAAATTGCACTGATGGAAAATAAAACACCCAAACTGGACAGCAAACAAGAGTAAACAATTAATGGGGAAGTTTTACTACCAGCCATTGATGGAAAAAGGTGTGATCACTTGAGATACCTGTCAATGATTTGATGGCCAAACCCCCCCCCCCAAAAAAAAAAAAACAAACAGTCAAAGCTATAAGTACTCCAAAAGAAAGCAACAAAATTGATAAAAAGAAGCAAAAGAAATCAGCGCATGTAACACCAATTCTGCAAGAACCACACTGGCTGCCAGTAAAAGAAAGGATCAAATACAAAACTGTCATTTTCTGTTTTAAATGTCATAATGGTACTGCACCTATTTATCTAAAACAATTTCTAAAATTATATCATCCACCCAGAGCCCTTTGATCAGCCACTGACAAATTGATTCTTAGAACCCCAAAACAAAATTACGTAGAAAAGAAGCTGATCAAGCTTTTTAGTTTTTTACAATGTTCAAGGGAGCCATATCATATCTTGTTGCAACATGTACTGTCGCAGGGTTTTTAAGGCTTCAAGGACCCTGTGGCTTAGCACCACTGGAATTATTTCAGAGTCATCTTCTTTAAACTGGGTGTTTGTTGGTGGCAGCACACTTGATGCTTTTTCCTCATCAGTCTTGTTTTGTTTTTGTAAAGTGTTTCACGGCGCTCGCTACTGTATAAGGTTATATGAGCGCGCGGGACACACCTAATATTTTTCAGTTGGTAGAAAATTTAGAATTTTGCCCGGGTGGCGGCCGAAGCCTACTCTTATCGATTTTAGACCACCAAGGGATCTTTAACGTGCGCAGCTTGCACACGGGCCCTCCGAGATTTTTCGCCCTTGTCCGAGAAGGCTAGGTGTAGATCTTTCTTACCCAAAGATCAGGGGGTGTGGCAGAAAGACAGCAGTAAGGAGGAGCCAAGGAGTAGCAGTAGAAAGGCTGCAGAAGAGTCAGGAACCCAGAGGAGGGGGCAAAGGAGGTGAGGGCAGAAAGTGGAAATGAAAACAGACAACAGAACATTGCTAGAGAGCAGGAAAGGAGGTGAAAGGAGACAATTTTATAGAAGAAAAATTTTCGGTCGCTACCCGGGACCTTTGAATGAGAGGCCAACCTCTTAACCTCCAGGCCACGAGAGCCCCCCCTCATCAGTCTGTCAAAGTTAGTCGTAAATGTAGGGAAGAAGCTCTGGTCTGAAAACGAGTAACTCCTCTTAAGATCAGATAATGTTATCTCGTACTCCGTCCAAAGATTTCTTGCATGCCATTAAAATCTGGTCTCTTCCATGGAGTTGTCCTCATCAATTGCTTTCCTAAGCCCTCACCTCTCACAGGCAATGCTGCAGTAGTCAAGGGTCAAGTGCAGTTACATTTTAATTGCACTTTGTATCTTCCCCCCACATAATAAAAAAAATTAAAAATTCAGGGTGTGTGTGTGTGTTTGTCCTTGCCCTAGTCTATCAAATGAAGCTTTACTGTTTAGTAGACAAAACTGAATGTACAAATATTTTTAGCTGCAGTAAGAGAGAATTCACAGAACTAACTAACAAACAAACAAACCAACAAACAACAACAAACAAACAAACAAAAAAAGAAAGAAAGAAGAAAAAAAGAAAAGAAAAATAGAATAGAATAAAGAACAGTGAATTGTTAGTGCTTGTTTGTTACTGTTGTTGAACTGTTTCCATTATCTTATCCTCACCACTCTTTTTGATGTTGACACTCAGAGATGAAAATCTACTGGGGGTCAACTAACAATTCTCTAACACAGCAGCGAAAGCAAAGGTATCAACTTCCCTGCCCTGGGTATGTGAAATGACAAGTCATGAAGTGTGCAGATATATTATTCACTATAGGTCATGTCAGTGCAAATTGCTTTCCCCGTTGGACATCGTTTTGCTTTATTTGGCTTTGTTTCTTTCTTCTTGTCCCCTTATTTTAACCAGTGATCAGACCAATTATAACCAAGCACTTCTATTATAGGCGTACGACGAAGACTAAAAAAATATGCATAAACGAAAGATCATACAGGTATATTCATTATTTGCTTTTGAGACATTAAAGTCACTTGAAATTAAAAGAAACAAGGGACATAACAAACATGTACAACAAGATTCTTATCATGAAAGATAGAGAGGGAAGGACGAAACCATTAAAAAAAACCAAAGCAACCAACAGAAGTTGGTACATAGTTTTGTACTCACTTTGTATCCTGTGGGCTAGTGGATCACTGTGCACACCCACTGCTGTCACTTTCTCTAGAGGCACATACTGTGGCTTCTCTCCCTTACTGCTGGCTTCTTCCTTCTGTGTGTCTCCAATAGCAGGAAAAGATGCAGCATCAATGTTCGACAGCGGCTGAGAAACTGTGTTGTTAACACTATTCACTGAGCTAGTCTTAACACCCTGAGATTTGGTAGCAAATAAACTGCTCCAACTTTTGACAGTTTGTTGTGGCACTGGTGATGGTGGGGGCACACTCGAAGCAGCGTCTGCCGTCTTTAGACTTTTCTCTACACTACCATTTGGGGAAGAAACTGCAGGAGTCTCTCTTGTGTCATTCTGAGCCCCAGCAGAAGCCCGGGCAGCAGCAGTAGGACATGGGGCAACTGCTTTTATGCCACCTGGAATATTATTGGCACTTGGCAGGTTTGATTCTGAAGTGTTCAAGTTTTCTATGTCTATAACCACCTCCTGTGCGACGCCAGTCTTTTCTGGGGTAGTAAATTTGTTATTATTTGGCTCCGTTTGAGCACGGGTGTCAGTGTGATGCTTATAGACGACTGGTCCACCAAACTCAATGCTGGAGGCTTGCGGTTTTATCGGGAGACCGGTCACTGCCGGGGGTTGAGGTGAAGGGGCAGAAGGTTGTTTTGCCTCTTTGCACGATTCCTCAGGCATAGCCGGCTGAGGATCCTCTTGAGAGGTTGGGATACATACCATTTGTGGTTGTGGAGCCTGCGGAGTCATGGGCACAGGTGGTGGTGGCAGGCTGGTGGGGACACCTGGGGGTTGCGTAAGAGTAACCGGCATAACAGGTGGTTGTGTGAGTGTGACCGGTACCCCAGATTGCGTCAAGGTCACAGGAACCACAGGGGGCTGTGTAAGGGGCATTTGTACCCCTGCTTGTGCCAGAGTCACTGGCACAGCCCCTGGCTCACCAAGGGCAATGTGAGACGGGACTGGAGGCAGGGTGTGCGGTGGCAATACTCCTTGGCCTGCAGGCATTGTAGCCATCACTGTCTCATTCCCATGAGCGGTGATGGGAACAGTCAAGGGCATGCCCTCCCTTGGAGGGATCGGAGCCCCCTGAAAGTGGGCTGAGATTGGGTGTCCAACTCCTGGGATGGCATACATTGGGTGGCCATTACTGATGGCAGTAACAAAAGCAACTGTACCTTCGTGGCCGGCAGAAAGAGCGGGGTTGGGGAAAACGTAACCACTGTGCATGGTGATTGGATATGGGCCTCCACCGTGGCTGGCAAGCCCTGGATTCCCAGGAGGCCAGTGGACAGGAATTGGGAAACCCACCATGGAGGGTGGGGGAACGCTAGGCTGGAAAACAGGGGCATGAGAAACACCTTGCTGTTGCTTGGAGGACACTGAAAGTTCAAAATCCAAACAAAAACACCAATCAACATTCATAAAAACTCATCAAACACAAACTCATCAAATTTTAATAAGTATTTAAGCAGTTTGCTCGAGGCCTATATCCTGATCCAGGGTGAGAAAGGCAATGATGATTAAGATGATTTCAGCAATTAATAAAACATATAATAATTTTTTTTTTAAAGAAGAGTGGTGGAACAAAAAAATGAAAAAGAAAAAAACCCAACCCAACTAAAGATACTGACAAGACAAACTTTCAAGGGTCGTAGATTTCTTGATACTATTCACCTTCAAACTGAAAATCAATTCAATGTCATAATCACACAAGAAACCACTTCGCTGAAAACAATTAAAGCAAAAGTTTACCCAAAATATTTCAAACACAATGAACATGCATATCTTTAGTTTCTGCTTCTATCCCTTTCCTGGATGTATTTTCAAGATACACACACAATAAAAGTACACAGCAACTGACCTGATTGATCTGTGCCGCGAGGAAATGGAAACTGTAAAATGAGAAGAACGATACAAAAAATTAGCAGACATGAAAATGAACTTGAAAATTAACTAACTTCTCACATTGCAGCAGTCTAGCAAAGACAACTTTTTGGGCTGTACATTATATTAAAGGGGAGAAGTACACTCCCGAAAAAAGAACCCAAACGAATGATGGTTATTCACTTCCATGTAATTGTACAAGAAGTTAATAGGTAAATAGGACGTACTAAGGACGAATTAGTTGATTTTTTTCAGAAAAATAGGTATCTGTGAAGGCCATCTTGGATTTTCAAACCAGAGTCTTAGTGCTGAACAATTTCACAGAAAAGATTGAAACTACAGCCTGAAATTTGGAACAAAAGTGCAAACCTATTTGGACTATGGATCTATGAGGATTTTGACCTATTACAAATTTAAAAAAGAGACACCAAAGTCAGTTGACGAAACAGAGGAGCATATGTTACAAAAAATTTGAATATTTCCACAAGTTACTTCTCACACAGATCCCTAGAACAATCTTAAAGCACTTGTATGTAAAATTTGAAGCTTCTAGCTTCAGTAGTTTTTGAAAACTTCGGGCACCAAGGAGGTCACATATGCCAAAAAGGATACTTTGAGAAAAACAGAAAAAAGCAGGAATTTTTAAAATAATTTTAAATTCAATACGAACATTTCAGATGCCCTTTTAGGTCATTTATGGTGATTTTGTCAACAGTTTAGCTATTGTGACTCGATAGAGCAGATGTCAAAGGATGTTTTTCCAGCAAAAAAAATAAAATCTTTGCTATTCTCTGGGATCGCCAACTCGGGTCTCCCCTTAACACTTTTTCAGATCTTTACTTTATAAAACAAAAGCATCGTACTATCTGTCTCTTGTTGTGAACTTGTCATCTCCTTACATTTGCCATAAACACAAAGCCAACAAGAAATATGACAGTGGAACATTTATTTTGTCGTTAAGATTAGAACATTCCCACAATGGATGTTGAACTTTGATTTTGCCCCCAAAAATGTAAGTACACTTTTTTCAGATCTTCCAAGACCAAAAATGAGTGCAAAAGAAAATACATTGAAACCTATCCAAGAAAGAATTATATTGCAATGAAGTCGGAACCCCCCCCCCCCCAAAAAAAAATTCTGCCTTGATTAGGGAAATTAAGATGGGCGGCCCTTTATATAAAAATGCTCTGATAATGGCATGTGCAGGTCTTATTGATCCAGTGCCACCAGTGCTTGTATCTCAGTGCAACTAATGCTTGACCAAATGAAAAACACAAACGATTGAAAGTCTCCTCTATTTCCACCCTTACCTTACCCATCAATGTCATAAACATAATCACCAATGCCACCACTCCCAATTGCCATGTTCATTCTAGGACAGGAAATCAATTTCTAAAAAATCTTTTCATCACTTGTAATGTGCTGAACTTATTAAAGTAAAGAAAAAAAACAACATGACTATTGTGTATATTAGGCTATGTAACAACTATGGGAACTTTTTACCCACCTGGTCAAATGAACATGGCTATAGGCAGTGGTCAAATTTATACCCCTGGCTACCCAGTGTGCTAGCACACCACTTCAGCACTTTGAAAACAAGCAGCGGTCAGATTTCACACCCATGCCACTCTGACCATCTGTGCTGGTCAGGGTTCACATGAACAGGGACAGCCCAACTTCTCCTGGCGACGTTACTTAAACGGTTAGAGTGGGTGGAACCAGACTTAAATAAGAGCTGTTGCTTCGAAACAAAGCTGAGTGAGCAAACCATTCTCCGCCATCGACATATATTAAAAGAATAATTCGACAAGGGGGATACTCCACCATGACAGATTCAGCTGGAGCTAACTACAATAGTTGACCACCTTAACAGTAAAAAGGTTTTTTACCTGCCTCAACTTTTGGCAAATTAACAAGATTACTTTAACACTAACCTGCACACTTGATCCTTGATGTGGTGCATTGATGATCCGGTTCAACTTGACATATTCTTCTTCATCCAAACTTTCCCAGTCAATGAATGACAATCCTTTGCTGGGGTGAACACCCCGCTACATGGAACACAAGATTAGCAAATAGTTTTAAGCATCAAAAAAAGGAAAGGGAAAAAAAGAAAAGAAAGAAAAACAATCCAACAAAAATTAGACCTGTAATGACAGCAAAGCAAAAAATAAAGCCGAATAATAATTTATTTTTAATCATGGTACAAAATGCAAGGAAAACAGCAAATTTCAGTTCAAGCTGAATTTGCAACAGCTCTTGAAATTGATAAAATCATCTGATTTAAAAATGGTACTGTTGCATTACTCTAGGACAAAGACAATGCTCAGATTTAGGACCTCAGAAAGGAATGTTTGTTTTCTTCCTCTTTATCAGTCTTGCACAAGATGGCCCCTTTTCTCCTCAACAATGGGTGGTTGTCTAATTATGACTAATACAGGTTCAATAATTGTACAATATAACAGTTCCAAACTCAGAAGTATCAGTTTTTGAAACATTCAATATTTTCATCTACACTAAATTACAATAAGCCTAATTATGTAGTAGTAATATCTAGTTGTTTTTTTATCTGGAGGTTCTTCAGGGGGAGAAGGGTGTGCCCGTTTAAGAACAGATGCGGGGTGGTGTGTGTGTGTGTATGTGTGTGTGTGTGTGTGATTTCTGTATTTCATCATAGCTTTATGCCATACTTCATATACTAGGGAGTGTCTATGTACACGGTAACCGGGCACATAGTGATGAGTCTAAGTAAGTATCTGCGTCCATGGTAACTGGGCACTTAGTTTTTAGGGCCCCTTGAGCTAGGTGCACAGCACTGCTTCGCCCTCTCATGACCTTGAATCACCCCCCCCCCGCGTTTTTTAAAATGTTATGAGTGGAATGTAAGTAAGCAGTAAGCACAACAAGACCGTTCTATGGCCTGTTTCCTATTATTTTTGGTTTCGATCTAAAAAATAACAACAGAATAACTTTTGTCTTTGATGGAAGCCATCTTTTCCTCGTTATTGTTGCTTGTGCTGTCTATTGTACCGGTAAGCTTTCCATAGAACTGGTGAAGTGGGTGTGTGCGTATGCCTGAGCATCAACGATCGCAATTCATTGAATCAGGAATCACAAACTACAAGCTCTCCTCTTTTTTTTTTACAGTTTGGCCTTGCAGCCTGGACCTTGGCCTATGGCACATCAATTTCGGAGTAGTTCACATAACGCGTCTCTCCACACCATCTCTCTCTGCCGCATGCCCCACCCTACTCATCACCAGACTGGCCAATCACAGTGCCACACCACTTACTGTCTGCCTGTTTGGAGCCCGCCCATCGCCCAACCTCCTTCCCCTAGCTAGAGCTCGCTTGATCTCTCCCGCTGTACCCAAGTTCGGGACTTTTCTTGCCCAGCTAAACCCAAGCATAAGTAGTTGAGTTTACAAAGAAAAAAAGGGGGATCCGGTAAAGTCGCGGGTGCCGCTATAGTCATGTTCTACTGTACGAGGAACGTAGTTTCATAAGTAGTAAAAAATAGGCTCACAAAAGCCTAACTTTGAAGGTCATCTTTGGTCGTGCATCTAGATCTACACAAGGTGTTTATGACCTCGAACTTAGACCAAAAAAAGGCAGCTGAAATGGCCATTGTCAAACAACATGGTCTCACACAATCACAAAGAACACATCGGAGAATGTAGGAGTCATTAGTCTAGGGTCAGATCAGAGTATACAGGAGCCATAGCCTATGGTCGGAGTTCACACAGTGCACGCATAAAACGGCAAGTCACAAAACACAATACTTCTGTGTAGAACAATGGGGGACCTTTTGGTTACCGTGTACGCAGACACTGAGACTACGTGCCCGATTACAGTGTACACAGACACTCCCTATATACTATGTAGGCCTTAATGTAATTATTTTAGGTTTGAGATTTTCTTGAAAACAATTGATTTGTGAAAGTTTCAGAGGTCACGTGCTTGGCCCCCAAAAAGCAGCGCACATCAAGTCTGAGGGATTATACTTTTTACAGTCGGTCAAGTAGTCTCTAGAGTTGTTGAAGGGGAAGGACTTCCGTAACGAGCGACCACCCCAGAGATGCCAACCACAGAAAACCGAAAAGAGTATTGGGAAATATGAAAATGAGTATTTTCAGGGGAGAATGTGTATTCCCCACGACCGACCGACCAACTAGTAAAATGTTCAGGGTGTCCAGCAATACTACCTGAAATAAAAATTACTAGCTCACCAGCTCGAAAAAAAGGAGTACAATAATTTGACAATATACATGTATCCAGTCAACAACATGTTAGTGTTCACAGTGTCGCATTGGGGCCTTGTTTGACTTAAGTATTTCAGTCTATTATGATATTTTCGTCTCCAGTTAAAGGTGACTGTCTACCAGTGAAATGCCTGAGGAGCTACAGCAATGAGATCTGATCTGAGTCTAATTAGATTATTTTTAAAAAGACAAAGATATATTTTCCAAAATTTTAAAAGAATCGCTAGCAACCGATAAAGGTTGAATATAAATGTGGAAAATTACTGAGACAGGACTTGCCCCCCCCCCCCGGCACATAGTCGTCATAATAGACATTAGGCCTATTCATTATTATCTTTTACTTCGAAGGTGAGGCCTACATCTAACATAGAATCTCAAGATCTTGATAGTGTTAACAAATGGCAAACAGAATTGTTTGTGTAAATGTTTCTACTTTTAATACTATTATAGTACTTAGCAATTTAAGTAGTTACCAGTCACAAACAAGTGAAGTCAGAAGTGTAAACAAAAGATACCGTGTGGTCTACCACATCACTCTATATGACTCTTTGTATTATGAGCTAGAACCCATCTTTGCACCTACAAAAGTTGCAAATGCATGCAGAATATATAATGCAACGGTGTCAGTATTCTCACCCCGCTCCACATCTCAGTCGGGTTCTTCGTTTCCGCCCTTTTTATTTCGTTTAGGTTTTGAGAGTTTACCACAGAAATTATGGGATGTTCGGATTCAAAACTGATCATCTGTCTAGATTCCAGATTTAACTCATTAAAAAATCCTTGAAAAAATGTTTTTTTGCCTTCAAGCAGTATCCAAAACCTTTTTCAGTCTTCAACCAAATCCCTAACAGAGCCTCAAAGCCTTGTGCACAGCCTACACCAGTTAAAAATTCAAACACATTTCGACAGAAATCACATAGATCTAGATATTGACCTCTTCACCGGAAATTTCTTCTTTACGGTTTCAGCAAAACTATCCTCTAAATCGCTCATTTTGAGGTAATTTTTGGTTGAAAATGAAAGAATAACAGCACTACAATGCGATAGCCTAGTCCCGTAGTTGTATTCTCAGAGCAGGTGAGAATAAAATGGATATTACTCACATGCAACGGCAGCGAGCACCTAACACACCTTTGTAATTGGCCCAAATATAGATGACGTATTTCAGCTAGCTATTTTTATCGTCTTTCGGGGCTTCCCTCGCAAGTTGACTAGATCTCACCGTGGCGGGCCCGCTTTGCCACTTGACGCGCGAAGGGCTATGTCAGTAGAGTTAGTTCGGTTCACAGAGTGTCTGTTCGGGTGTGTAACCCCCTGGTCTCCTGCTTTGTTTTGGATAAGAACAGCGGAAACGGTATCCTTTTCTGTGGGCATGCACAGAAAGCAGCTCATTTTACTTTCTTCTCATTTTACTTTCTTTTTGGAGGTCCCTGTTCAACACACGTGATTCTACGGTGTCTGTAAGTTTTGCCCCAGTAGGCATCACCAGATATGAAAGCTATCTGGAGATGCTGATGAAGAAAGGAAAGAAGTTTGGAGGACAAAGAATTTCAAAGGGTACTGGTGGCAGCAGATGTACTTGAGGCTCAAGACCAGGGCATCCCAGCCTCATCTGTTCCCTCTTGAAAGCCGCAAAAGCTTGGATGACCTATTTGCCCCACCCCAACTCCCAAAGAACAGGGGGGGCACAGCTTCCAAAAAGAACATCTCATTGACCATGGACTTCAGTTCAGATCAGTACAGGAACTTCTAGCAAGAAAAGAAAGACAAGGCCAGGATGCAGAAAGATGAAAGACGGAAGGAAAAAAGATCAAGAGGAAGCAAAAGCAAGGAGAGAGCAGGAGATGGAGCGTCAGGAAAGAGCTAGAGTTGAGCGAGAGACAAAGAAACAGGAGAAAAAGGAGGCACAGGAGAGGAAGCAATTGGAGAGACTGCTAAATAGTAATAGCATGAATGAGGGGAATGGAAAGTAGCAGGGAAAAAGAAGGTATGGTATTGAAAAGTGATAATGACGTGGAGCTTGGTGTTGATGAGAGGAGATGCAAGCAGTGCAACGAGGAGGAGGGTGACACAAAATGGATCCAGAGTGACCTCTGTGATGCCTGGTTTCACTCTACCAGCTCCGGCTTGCCATCTGATGCCATTGCCAGGATGAATGAAGACTTACTTTTATCGAAGGCCTACTTTTATTGTAAAAACTGCGTCGGTGGAGTTCTTAAAAACTGAGAGAGCAGACACTTTTTTTCCTTCATATAAATAGCAAGCCAGCTGTATTTGTGTGAGTATGTGTTATGTCACTGCGTAATATGATAGACGTGTTTGTGTGCAGTTTTAATTTTTATTGTTCTATGATATTTTCCCTGTATTATTACAAAATGCATTTGCCAATGAGAAAACTAGTCTTTTTTGGTCCATATTTCTTCATTGCTGCTAATCCACCAAACTGTAAACATGGTACTATTGCACACTCAACCAGCCCATGTTGCACCTAAACAGACACGTTACCAAACAAACACCACCACAACAGGAATTTTAAACTGGTGGGTTTTGTATGGTGGCTACACCGTATAGAGGAGTTCTTTCTAACTCTTCAGGTGAAAAAAATCATGAAGATCCCCCTGAAACTTCCAGAGATATCCACAAAAGATTGCTTGCGATATATCGCAGTACCAGACTTTCTAACTTTAGATCTAGATTTCATCGCCGACAGCATGGGCTGAGTGTGCACTTGTCACTATTTTTTGTGTGTGTACAAAACTAAAATCCTTCATGTGAAAAAAAAATTTGTGATTTCGGAAAGTTTCAGCGTCCTCTTGGCTCAGGGCCACAGAATTCTACACAAGTGTAGAATTCTGTGGCTCAGGGTAGACCTAGAATCCAGGTTATTCTTCTAGATCGATGGCCTTGGTCTAGATCTAGACAGACAGACATAAATCATTGATCTAGTTTCGAGGTTAGTCTAGATCTAGATTCTAGATCTAAATGAAGATTGCGGATTGTTTTTTGGTGAACGATCGTTTTTCCTCCGTTTTAGAGTTGGAGGAATTACAATTTGAAGAAAAGAACAATGTCATTTAATTTCAATCAAGCAGTCACCCTCTCTATTTCTCTGCCTCTCTCTCTGTCTGTTAGGGCTGGATCCTGCTCGTCAAATTTGAGAGTGGTGATTCGCGATTCAGTCGGCTTCAATGAATCGCGAGTACGCGAGCGCTCGTGGAGCTGTGGCGGAACACTGACTGAAACGGAACAGTGTCATATCAACGCCTCTTGGCGAGCGCGAGTCCCACTATTGTTGTTCCGCCATCCTCTCCGCCCCACACCCTTTGTTTGCGCTGCTCTATCAACTGACCTCAATTAGTGACCCCCATAAATTCCCCCCCCCCCAACCCCACCATTCGCTAAAACAATGGCTCCATAAAATTCCTTCTGTCTATTGGTTGGACCCCGTTCGTTTTGTTTTGATAGGGGGGTTGGAGTATACCATATTTTGTCAAATAAGGGGAGCCATACTAAGTCAGTGTTCCGTTCCGTGTTCCGTTCTTGCGCTCGTGACTCGGTGACAGGGGAGTGAATCGGGAATAGTTTGGCGATACTGTTCCGCGTTCCGCAGGAAAGAGTGGCGATTCAGTTCAGTTCTCGCGCTCGTGACCCAGCCCTACTGTCTGTCTGTCTCCCCCTCTCTCTGTATTGCTCGCTTTTTCTTTTTCTTTGTTTGTCTATGTCTTTCTTTCTCTCCACCTATTTTCTACTGAACTGTCTTTCTCTCGTTCCCTCCTGCCAACTGTGGGGCATGTCATATACACTTTGCTACTGCTAGCACCTCTCTCTCTTTCTCTCACACACACATTCACATACATAACCGGGTCTGGGCGCTGAAACTTTCCGAAATCACAAAAGAGTTCCCCTACTGGGTCTGTATACTTCGTGACTTTGTTCCCGGTTACCGGGTCTGTATTTACACTTCTCTCGAGAACGGAAACCGTTCCGAGAAATAATAATAAGGGAGTGTATACAGACCCGGTAACCGGGAACAAAATCACAAAGTATATAGACCCGGTAGGGGAACTCTTTTAACTTTTGTGATTTCGGAAAGTTCCAGCGCCCTCTTGGCTCAGGGTAAAACTAGGTTCATCTTGAACTATGGCCTAGGTCTAGAATCTAGAGACCTAGAATCTAGATCTAAATGAAGATTGCGGATGTCTTTTCGATGAACGATCGTTTTTCCCCCGTTTTGGAGTTGGAGGAATCACAATTTGAAGAAAAGAACAATGTCATAATTTAAATCGAGCAGTCACCCCCCCCCCCTCTCTCTCTCTCCTTCCTCTGTCTCTGTGTATCGCTTGCATTCTCTTTTTTTTGTTTGTCTCTGTCTTTCTTTCTCCCCTCGTTTCCCACTCTCTATCTTTCTCTCGTTCCCTCCTGCCAACTTTGTCATACATTTTGCTAGCACTTCCCTCTGCTCTCTCCTCTCTCTCTCTCAGTCACTCACTCACACACACACACACACACGCTACCGGGTCTGGGCGCTGAAACTTTCTGAAATCGCAAAAAAAAGAGTTCCCCTACCGGGCCTGTATACTTCGTGACTTTGTTCCCGGTTACCGGGTCTGTATACACCTCCACTTCGTAATAATAAACCAATAATATAGCCTAGGTCGGCAACGGAAAGATGTGAATGAGAACTAAATCACTTCTCTAGAGATGCACTCTCATCATAACAAAGACAGAGCGTTGCATATATCTCTGAACTGAACGTCTTACCACTGTTACTGTAACATCATCATTTCATTGAATATCACAAACAGTCCTTATCAGCACGGCACGGTGGCTGGGAATTGCAAGAAACAGTTGCAGAAAAACCAACGTAATAAGTGTCTGTTGGACAAACTAGAGTCTAGTTTTAGATCTAGATTTTAGATCGATCTAGAATCTAAACAAGCCAGGTCAGGACATATGAGAAGTGAAAGTGTCAAGAACTACGAACTCCTAACGACAACGAGGTCATATTTCAGATTACAATGTTGATTCAGTCATGAAAAAGGAAAACAAGTTGCGTTGAGAAAAAAGATAACTCTTACCTCAGAATTACTTGCCATGTTGCTCAAATTATCATTTTACAGTGAGATGGACAATGCACAATAATTTTCTCAGAAGCGACTCAACTTTGCATTCTACATCTCGCCATCTTGTTTTGAGAAGTGAGAAGTACACATGCTCTAGTGGCCAGTCACTGGCCAGCTAAGATTGCTAAACTAAGATAGAGTATGCCAGGTTTCCCCAGGTGTTTGTTTCATTTTTATCCAGCAAAAAGTTTGTAGGCCAAGTTCATCGACCCTTCCAGCACATGTCAGTTTGTTATTTCCCTTCTCGAATAAACAATTATAACAATAAAATAGTACAAAATAATGCAGAGATCAGAAACTTTGCTGAACTGTTCCAAAGGCGCAAGAAAAAAGATTTTTAAAACTGTAATGTTCACTTTTCTGTGAAACAAATTGATTTTCCGTGAGTAAACTGAAAAAGAGGCATTGGCCATTGAAGCAAACTGAAATCCATTCTAAGACTAGACTATCGAGTCATGCATTTCTATGAAGATGTATTTTTGATAAGCTTTAATAAGTCAACAATTACTCTTAACTGTCAGGTAACTTTTTATTGCATTACATTAATTTAAAATTCTAAAAGACAATAAGACGTTTTATGAGTTTACACCTTTGACACAGCTGAAACCACGTATTTGCCAGATAGGCTACTACATTGTGTATTATTATGGCAAGGATGGAAGACAGTAAAACGAAAAATATCAAAACAAAAAATAATGATAGGCCTAGAATCTATTCATACAACATTCAGTGCCTGTCTTGCTATATATATATGTCAACTGTATACTGTGTAAATTGATCACTTGTGAAACGTTTTAAGGAAATTGTGTAGGAATAAAAGGTTAATAACAACATGTGAGGCAACCTGCAGCAACTGAGAATGGGTCCGCGTCTGCGCGTTTTCACTTTTTGCTACCACCGTATCTTTGGGGAGACTCTCCTAGTATTCTGCACTTTAACTTTCAAAGATTTGTATCTGGTTCTAGGCTAAAACTGAAGTTATGGTGAAAATGAGTTTAAATTTTGAAAAAAGCACGAACTGAAAAAAAATAGGATCAGTAGCTTAAAAAGGCATATATAGATCTATATAATATGTATTCTTATAAACTTTTAAGAAATGCAGTCTTGGCACGTTTGGTCCTCAAGCACGCCGAGTTTTAAAGTTGGACTTGTTAAATAGTGTGAAAACTTTCACAAAATAAAAACAAAAAATTATTTTGTGAAGTTTAAAAACTTGAAGAACTGTTAGATTAATGTAAAGCGATGGAAAATCAAAACTTTTGAAGACAAAAAAAAAATGAAGGGTACAACAGGTCAGAAATAAATCAAAATAAGCATTTCAGACCTTATCTCAGTTAATCACCTTAAGAAAATAGATGTGTATGATGCTGAGGAATCTAGTGGTATACATCAGTCAAACTCGACCCATGTTGACCTAATTTCATGTATTAAATTTGCTTAGCTAGCTTAATTTAAAACCAAGTTCGTCGACGTTTCCATCTCTCGCAGAGCCCATCGCGCATTGCCATGAGTGCCCATGACCGGCTATAATCGCTTAATTGGCAACTACTTTTGAAAGTCTGGCGTATGTCGTTCCCCCACTTCCTTCCTTCCTCTTAAGGGTGGGCCGACTCCGAGAACTTCCGAACTTTCGACTCCGAACATTTTTGGGCGCGAATTCGTCGACTTCGACTCCGAATTCGAATTCAGGTCAAGATAGCAGCCAATCAAATTTGAGGAGAGGCAAGGTCAATTCGGTGGGATTCGTGTCAAGTCAAGTCGTTCTCCCTACAGCCGTCGAGTCGAACACGCTGTAGAGAATCCCGACTCCACGGACCAGTGTAGACAAAGGGGGCGGGGAGGGGGGAGGGGGAAGGAGCAGGGAAGAGGTCACAGAGGTCGGGATTGAGGCAGGCAATGTTTTCATTGACATCAGGGGAGGGCACCAGTTTGTTTTGAAAGTTATTTGCCCCTCGTTGACAGTACAGCCGCATTCATGTGCGAGGATAATGGATGCAAACAGGTCATAATAAAAATCAAAGCATAAAATCCCGCAGTCTCGAACTCTAAAGTCAGACCATGCAAATCAAAGCAACAGTCAGCAAGACAGAAGTCTATAAAAAATAACAGTAATAGATCTAGATCTAGATTTATATCATAATCAACATTTATTATGACAAGATGAAACATACAAGGTTGAAAACAAACATGGAGTAATGACGAGAAATGTGACAATGTAAATGTAAGTGCCAGACAGGTCGTAAGAAAATACATGTAGATAGTACAATGAAGAGAAGAAAAGTAGTGAAATGTGTGTGATCGTAGTGAAAGCCAAAGAAAGAAGGAGGTTGGGATAATCACGGGATTTGAATTTGACGTGAAGATGGCTTGCAATTGTGATTGGTGCAATCAGAGACGCAATGCTCGTCCGTCACCGTAGTGCGTAAATTTGACCTTGGCCTCTTAGGGCATAACCACCAGCAGAAGGGATTTGTAACTGCTAGCAAATCAGCGCGTTCTAAAAGCTCATGTGACTTTCATTGAGTCGATGGAATCGTGGGACGGTCCAATTCGAACTCGCTGCTTCCTGCTGAACACAGCGAGGGGAAAATAGAAATAAGACATCGTGTTTTATGATACTTTTCAAACTTATGCATTTTTATTCATTCAAATCTAACTTTTGAGCGTTCAAAAATGTTTCTTGGGTGCAGTTTTGCGTAAAATTATTCAGCTTTTAACAAATTAAATATGTTTTCGCTCCTCGTGATCTATTTTCCCCTTGGCTGCCCTAGTTCGGGAATTCGTGTTCGGACTCGTCCTCCTGCCCAATGTTCGATCTCCGACTCAGACCCCACGAATTCGTCGAATTCCGAATCTCGACTTGACTTCGCCCATGCTTACTTCCTCTTCCTGTCAAGATGGCAGCCTCCTTGGGACAAGGTTTGTCCTTAGCCTAAGAGGCCTGAGGCTATAGAATGTAGTTTCTAAAGCTGAAGGAGTAGGAAAGAAAACTACAGTTCTCGGTCTCACTTTATTTGTTTCATGTTACTGTAGGATTTTAAAAGCTAAATTTGCTTAAATTACAATTGAAATGGGGCTCTTTGGAAATGCAAATTGCCTTCCCGTTTGTTTACATTTTTTAATGGCCACCTCTATTCTCACCCGGAGTGAGAATAGTGCAGGCGAGTCTTGTGGCTATTCTCACCCGGTGCGCGTTCACCAAATTTTGCGTTCACCCTAAACCATAGAATTCTACACTGTGAGGAAAAATTGTAGAATTCTGTGCCGTGAACAAACGTTCCATTACAACTTGTGACAGGTTCAGGCAATCGTAGCCCGGTTTACGCCCTCCGTGTAGTCGCATGTCTGCTAAAGTCACTTACAAAATTAAAAATAATATAGATCTAGATCAGAGAGAGTTTACAGTAACTAGATCTAGCTAGGCCTAGTTTGCGACAGCATTTGGTGCCAAAAAAAAGAAGGCCGGCACTATTTCTCCGAACGTTCGGGAAAATAAAGCTAGGCACTATTTCTCCGAACGTTCGGGAAAATAAAGCTAGGCACTATTTCTCCGAACGTTCGGGAAAGTAAAGCTGGGCACTATTTCTCCGAACACTCTGAAATCACATCCTTTCCCGCAAATTTCGGATATTATATAGATCTATAATTATAGTATAGGCCTACCAAAGATTGTTTGTATACAATATGGTTCAATCGGTCCAAAAAATGTCCGCAGTAAATATTTGTATAAAGAAATGCTACAGTTCCAAGCAGTTTTTCGCTACATATATGACGTGTTGCCTATGAAGGGTGCTGCTCTTAAACCTAATAAATGTGTTGTGTTCACTCGGGTGCTATCTAGATCTAGATCTACGGAGGGTTATAAATAACGACACATAGAACTAGCATCTGCGTTTGTCGCGGCCGCGACCAATCAATTGTGGCTCGATTTTTGGACATTTTTTGGTCCCCGAGTCGGGGAATAAAAGTCAAATTTTAAAAAAATAAAAAATGAAAGAAACCGAACCTCTTTACTTTTGAAAGAAAGTTCATATAGTATATAGCTTCACTTCATCTCTTTCTCACTTGTTGTCACCACGTTGATTTGTTGAATAAGTTAGTTACTTTTATTTTTTCCCTCTTTGTGGTGTTTTATTTTGTTAGTGTGTATTTTTTTCTTTCTTGTTATTGTTCTGATGTGTTGTTTTTTCATCAGTTTTTTTTGTTGGGGAAAAAGGGAGGGAGGGGGGGGGTGCGGATGTTGTATAGTGTAACATCATTTAATTTTATGTTCCTACTTTCATTAGATTCTAAATACATATATACATGTATACAGATTTAAATGTGTTATGTTAGAGCGTTCGTTCCACCAAACCCGATTAGATCTACGTGTACTGACTCTGGCAGGCCCCTTAATGTGTGTGATTCC